AAAGACCTGTCCTGAATATCCAGGACAAGGAAAAAGTACATCCAAGTGTGTATGCACTACTAGATGAGCTAAATTAATGTAGGCAGGTGTACATTCATTACTTAATGTTTTTAGATACTAAATGCCCTGGATGCATTGCGTTTTTAAAGGGGCCATTTATTAGAAGATATTCGTCAAATTGAAAGAAACTTTATGCCTAGGCTTGTTTTTAGGTAGGCTTAAACCTGTGATATATTACTGTTTCTTCATTTGATTATGCTGGACAGATGTAGATGAGTCACCCACCCAAAAAACTTTAGTAACTCTTGTTCAAAATGTTAAATAACTTGTTTATAGTTTTTAATTGTCACCTGGATGCATAAATATGAATATGTTTTATGTGACTACCAAAATGACTTTCAATTTACTTAAATTTGTTTATTGCAAAAAACCCCACTTTAACTACACCTAGTAGAATGATTTCGCTTCTAATAATATCAGTTTACAATAAAAACAATTCAGGACGGGAAGATGTGAATAGCATTTATATTGAGAAGTTGACAACAATACTAACTACATATAGGTTTGACAAGTTCATGATTAGATTTTTGTGACGAATTTTGAATGATGACAAGATTGACAAGTTGATGACAAGATTGACAAAATGATGACAAGATTGTGAGAAGGTAATGACGAGATTGTGACAAGTTGATGACGAGATTGTGACAAGTTGATGACGAGATTGTGACAAGTTAATGACGAGATTGTGACAAGTTAATGACGAGATTGTGACAAGTTCATGACGAGATTGTGACAAGTTCATGACGAGATTGTGACAAGTTGATGACGAGATTCAAACTGGTCAAGATGACAAGTGAATTCTTGTGAATACAGGCACCCGAGCAAAACAAGTTTTATCTTGTCAACATGACAAGAATTTGTTTTCAGTGCATGGTCAGGAGTGGGGTTTTGTAAATAAGAGGGTATAAGTACTACTGTGGAGTAGCTGAGTTATTCTTGTAATCCAGATTGCTACGCACTCTCTAATTATTTAATTGTTGTTATAGAATAATATGAAAATCTTCCAAATATCTACAGGATTCATAGGAGAAAAGGTACTCAAGCAGATTGGAATGAAGTACTTGACGATTGTATCTGCTTTGTTGAAATGTATTTCCACATGTATGCTTTCAACTGTAAACGGCCCAGTGTCTTTTGCCGGGTGGATGACGGTACTAGGTAACGTGACTTGTGACGAGTATAACTTCCTATTATTACATATAAATATTTGTATTTAAATATTAATACTATTTAGTATGCGAAATTTATTTCCTAAAGCAGATAATTTGCAATGACAAATGACATATATTATTTATATTTTGTTTTCATAGCTGTTGCTTTTGGCTTGACATGTTCAACAAGTGTATCTGTCTTGGGGTTAATATTTGGCGACCATCTTAGTAACGCAATTGGATTTGTCACCCTTTTACTTATGATTGGCACCGCAACACCTCCTGCTACACAGGTACGAAGTATGATAATTAAAAATTATTTTACTACTCATACTACTCCCTGTTTTGGTTTTAGTACTACTGCAGCTTTATAATACTAGTGCTGTTGTTGCTGCTTTAAAACGTTTCTTACAGTATTTGATTTCAAATTTTTAATGAATTTGTTTTTTAATTCTTATTATTTATCCCTTTATTAGATTTTATGCAGATATTTGGATAAATTCCGTATCGGGAGATGTTATATCACTACCACTACCACTAATGCCACCACTACTGCTACTTTCACTACTACCACCACCACCACAAGCCCATAGCCAGGATTTCGATAGAGGGGTTCTTTTTTATACTGAAAGGGCACTTGCGAGCGAAGCAAGCACCATTGGCTGGGGGCCAGGGGCTGCCAAGGGCCCCGGTGGGGTCCAGGGGCGAAGCCCCGGTGCCGGTGTGGGTTCAGGGGTCGAAGCCCCGGAAGCTCCAGCAACCTAGATATTTACATGTGTTACTTAATTGATTTGAGAGGACATACATTTAAAAAATGTATATATTAAAGAGGTAATTTTTTTAGTTAGGCAGAGATTAAGTACTACAGTACTGGTAATTTGACAAGAGCCTACAGTAGCATGATACCAACTCCAAAAAAACCAGTATGGTTTATTCTTTCTTTTTTATTCTTTTTAAGAAATTAAAAAGTATTGTATGGCTTATAGCACTTTGAAAGCTGTATCGTTTTGGGACGATCGGCGATACGCTCTGCTGCTTCTGCCCTGCCCTGTCCCTATTTTGGGCGGGTAGACCTACACGGTTTTACTGATTAATTTTAATAATAATGTTGTAACAGTTGAAAATGCACAATTTTTATTTATTTTTTTTGTTACTAGGTAGGCCTAACGATCGAGAACGTTTTTTTTTTAATGATGATAGGCTCTAGGCTAGCTAGCCTTTTTTGAAAGGGCACTTCATGAAAATGGGGGGTCGTTCGAACCCAACGAACCCCCCTGGCTACGGGCTTGCACCACCGCCGCCACCACCACCACTATTATTACTACTACTACTACTACTACTACTACTAGGCCTACTGCTGCTGCTACTACTACTGCTGCTGCTACTACTACTACTGCTACTACTGCTGTTGCTGCTGCTGCTACTACCACAACCACCACTACCACCACCACCACCACCACCACCACTACCATCATCATCATCATCATCATCACCAGCACTACTACTACTACTACTGCTACTAATACTGCTACTGCAATGCTGCTGCTGTTGATGCTCCTGTTGCTGCTACTACTACTATTACTGTTGCTGCTCTCAAAGCCTTTTTTAAATGAGAATTTATAAATTTGGTTTCAAGCAAACACCAATGGTAGACTAACCACTTTCAATCAAAACACTAAACACTGTAGACAACCTTTTGTTCATAATTCCATAAATGTACAGAATTTAATAGCCATTTTAGAAGGTAATTCACAATTAATAATTATGTTTTAATGTTATGTATCGGTTTATTGGGAGACTTCATGGCAGCACTGTCCCCTTTTATTTTCAGCTGGTGGGTCATATTGGTCTTTTCTTGATCCTGAGACCCACAGGCACCCATGATTCTATAAAAAAAATTATATTTATTTATGTTTATCTATTATCTATTTATTCATACTGATTTGAACGTATTACCGTAAAACCACGAATTGAAGCCCTGTGCTTCATCCTGTTTTTTTTTTTTGTTTTTTTTGTTTTTTTTTTTTTCCTTTATTT